TTTTCCAAATGCCCCCAACGTACAAACTGCCATTTGCTCAGCGCCAATTCAGCCAGCCCCTCTGGCTGTACAGTAACTGTAGCACAGTCAGGCTTCAGGACAAGCTTAGGCCAGTCCGTCAGCCTTATGTCTCCCTCATGTGGTGGAACTGCCATGATACCATTCTGAGTATGCAGTTAAGAGTAGATTAATAGGACTGAGTATGTATGAACTGATGCTGTTCAATGTGGAAAAAACATTAGCATTGTGATTATAGTGCTGCACTGATTGTGATACACTTTACAATGTATTTAAAATGCAGTGGTGAATTAATAATGTAACCGGGGGCACCTGATTTTAAGTGAAAGTGAAGGAGCATTTTTTTGGGGGGGTGCAAAACAGGGTGTTAATTGATTCTAAAATGTGTTCACTATTAAACCTTAGTCAGCTATAATCATTCATACATGCATGATGCATAATGATATGGGGTGAAATGAGACCAGTGCTACATTTATTGGTTAGAACATTGTGGAGGAGTCCTGTTGTAAATAAGCTATTAGTTCAACATAATCGGTCAAAATCTTGAGAAAACAAGGCATTTTTTTGATATAATTTGTCAAAATCTCAAGAAGGCAAGACATTATTTAAACATAACCAGTAAAAATCTAGAGAAAATGACATTTTGACATAATCAGTCAAAATTTCAAGGAAATCAGACATTATTTCGACATAATCTGTCAAAATCTTAAGAAAGCAAGACAATTTTTCGACATAATCTGTCAAAATCTCAAGAATGCAAGGCATTATTTTAACACAAGCAGAAAAAATCTAGAGAAAATGACATTTTGACATAATCAGTCAAAAAAGGAAATAAGACATTATTTCGACATAATCTGTCAAAATCTCAAGAAAGCAAGGCAGTTAAAATCTAGAGAAAATGACGTTTTGACATAATCAGTCAAAATCTTGAGAAAACAAGACAATCTTTTGAAAAAAAACAAAATCTCAAGCAAATGAACCATTACTTTGACATAATCAGTCAAAATTTCAAGGAAATAAGACATTATTTAGACATGATCAGTCAAAATCTGGAGACAATAAGCCATTTTTCAACATAATCAGTCATAATTTGAAGTCAACAAGACATTATTTTTACATGAGGCATTGTTCTGAGATAAAGTCAAACTGCTGTTGACGGTAATGGGCTTATAAATGAATAAACTCTTCTGTAGCGTGCCTTGTTCCAGCATAACCCCTTAAAAGGCGAACCCACTGGCAAACCCAGTTTTTTTACACAAAAACCAAAGGCACAAGAGACATCATTTCTGAGAAAAAAAAGAACATGTTTTCAATCCATTCATGCCCACACTGTTTCCTGTGGTTTTATGCATGTTGATGAGCTACTACTGACACATAGAAACAGATTCAGCATTTATTTTTACTAAATTCCTACCACTGTATTCTTTAATGGCCATCACCTCTATAGTGTTAAAAACAAACTGTTGCGAGGACTCAAATTAACAAGGCAACATGATGCATTTAGAGTGTCTTAAGAGCTGCTCCTGTAGTAACCTGATACTAAGGTTAAGCTTAATTTGTTTAAAGAAGCTTAGATTTGTTTGTTTAACCAATGCTATGCCGGCAATTAAATGGCACATTTTATTAAAAGGGGAAATTTAGGCATTTGGCAGACACCATAATCATGTCTCAGACGCAACTAACGTATATGTAATGTAGTGTTAGGAGTCTTGCCCAAGGAATCCATGTTCCTTGCTGAACAATCTTTTCTGATTGATGTATCACAGCAACTGGCTAAAGTGGCCGATGTGGCATTATTGTATATCGCTGTTGTTGGAAGAAAACCTCGTATCTCCAAAATGGTAACTTTACAGGAGAAGGAAAAAACATACTTTACTTTTATGTAAGTCAATGGAACCAGAACTTTTTCCAAGCCATTTCCAAGCCAACTTTTTCCAGGGTCATTTCTTTTGGTCCATTCTTCATGAAATTTACATACAATGTAAAGGGCAACAGGTATTTTCAAATTATGTCAAAAACTGAAAAACTGGAGATAAAAAATTGAGATACAAGGTTTTCTTCCGACAGCAGCGATACATGTCTATGGTTTTCATGTATGGTTTCATTTAAAGTGCAGAACTTTGCAAAGTTGCCAAATGTTGGGAACTACATCACACCAACCGCAATCTAAAGCCAAGAAAGGTTATTTTACCACTGTCATTTCCAATCAACACAAACCAGGTTTCAACAAGTATTTAATAAATAATTTGACAATTGAAAAATTGTTTTTAGAAACTGCTTGTATATGTTTTTCATCAGACCTCCTGCCAATGCAAATTATTTATTAAGTGGTGAATGGTGAAACATAGTGTGATCAATAGAAATGAGAATGCTAACATTACCCTTTTGGAATTTAAGTTGCAGTTTGTGTAGCAAAGTGGGGAACGTCTCTGCTCTTCACCCAGCAGACTGAGGTTTGATTCCTTGTCCACACAAACACATAATGGTGTACCACTAATCATCCCAGGAAAAGACTCCTACTGCTACATTAGCTTTCTTCTGTAACATGATTAGCCTGGAATTTGTGTAATCCATTTAATTAATATAGGTTTTTAATGGTATCTTGACTCTGCCCAGAGAATAAAATGGTAGGATGTTGGCTGAGATCAAGACAAGTTTGAGTACAGATACTGTGAAGTCCAAGACAAGTGAGGGTACAGATACTATAGAGCCAAGACAAGTCTGAGTACAAAAATTAGCGAGGCCAAAATAGGGCAGAGTACATATGCTCTAGAGTCCAAGTACAAATACTGTTAAAACCAAACCAAGTTAGAGTACAAATACCTTAATAAGTCCAGCACAAATAAAAACGTCTTGAGTCTGGACACATGTCCACCCAAACTCAAGTACTACAGTACTATCAGAAACACAGGCCTGGGTGTAGGTTTAGTAGTTGTACCTTTTCTTGCCGTTCACCATTAAAAAGAAGTGTTTTCATTGTGGCTCCTGGCCTGTAAAACTGAAATAAGCCTTCTGGTGAAGTCATTAACTTTAGTAGGAAAATAGGCCCCAAAACAGTCTTTTAAACACACTAATTGCATCACACACTGACCAAGTTATTGCTAAGGAAGTTCTAAAATAGTTCTCTCCCCGATCTGTCATGCTTCGTTCACTCATGCTTCGTTACAGGACAAAGAGAAGACTACTTTTTCACCAAATGCTTTTATTCAGTGTAGTCTGTACAGTCATTTGAGCTGCTACATATGCTTATGTGACAAAGTATAGAGGAAAAAAAACAAGAAATAAAGAAGTAAAAGGAAAAAGTAAAACCAAATTTCAGTTTCACCATTCAGGAGGTGTATCTACAGACTAGTTTCTCAACCCACTCCTCAGAGAGTTCCCAGAGAGTTCTGTTCTGTTCAGGGCCAACAGCTTCAGATGCTCTGCCCACAGAGGTACACTAACCACCTGGTTTATACTGCATGCTAAGTGTAGTAAACTTGGGAGTTTCAGAGTTTACACCAAATACGTTGCACTGAAATGGCTGACAAAGTCATCAATATAAGTGTTCAACTCAGGCAAGTTCTGTGTTACCCAAACTTATGAGTTGACTTAACACCAGCGAGTATGTTTTCAAATATCACATGAACAAAGTTGACCTAGCTAGCAAACAACATACCAAGTTAATGGTAATAGCAACCGCCTGGGATACCATAGTAATGGCGGAGCAACACTTTAGCAACCACCAGGGATAACAACAATAGCCAAGCGATGCCTTAGCAACCACCTGGGATTCCACAGCAATGGCTTTGTCAAACCAGCTTTAAGTTCATTCATGTACTTTCCCCTTCTAGTTCAAATAGCTTTTTCCTGTCAAAGTAGGCAGCCCTACTATTTATGGTTAATTACAAAATATCAATAATATTGGAAGCCTGTAAAATGCTGTTCTGGCCAGCCCTAATAAATATATCAATAAAATTTTAATTTTTACCATTATTTTTGTACATCAAAACATACCTTACAAGGCAGATTCTATCAGTAAGCATTCATCAATAATTATAACTGATAATGTTTAGCAATGTATCCATGTGGTTAGGTAGCAGAAACAACAGGCTAACTAGAAAACTAAAGGACACTTCTAACTAGCTAAAGGACATTTCTCACACCCTCATAGGCATTACATTCCGGCTTACAATAAACTAGCAACGCCTTGGCAACCACATGGGATACCACAAAGGATAGCATAGCAATGGCGGAGCAACACTTTAGCAACCACCTGGAATACCATAGCAATGGGGCCTAGCAACCACCGAGGATAACAAAGCAACAGCCATGAACATCTTAGCAACCACCTGGAATACCATAGCAATGGGGCCTAGCAACCACCGAGGATAACAAAGCTACAGCCATGAACATCTTAGCAACCACCTGGGATACCATAGTAATGGCGGAGCAACACTTTAGCAACCACCAGGGATAACATCAACAGCTAAACAACACCTAAGCAACCACCTGGGATTATGCAGCAATGGCTTTGTCAAGCCAACTTCAGTTCATTCGTATATTTTCCCCTTCTAGTTCAAATAGTAGGCAGTTCTCGGACACATTGAGCAACAAAACCTGGCAAAAGCCATCAGTCTGTCTTGTAAGAGTAGTTAAACAAGGGCTGTGCATGTGTGTTGGGAGCTGGACTAGAATGAATCAGTGGACTTTCTGGAGGGAATGAGGACTAGGATGAGAATCGCTGGTCTGCAAGTTACAAAAATAGCTTTAAACTGTTCTGTAGATTTAGATGTGTAGATTTAGTATTTCCATCTCTGCCTGTGATAATACACAGGAAAAAATGACAACAATGAGTCAACTATGACACATTGACACATGTCTGGCATTTTTCCAAAGCAGGCACATACAAACCACAATAAAGGACACGAGTGTAGATGTCAAGACAAAAATTTACAGAGAAAATAAATGCTTGTAGCTTTTCCGCATAATGCGCCGTACAAGTCAAACGCTTATCCGTTCTAATACAGGAATATACATATACTTATTTATTACACACAGGTTTGTTATGATTATCTATGCCTTTAACTTGTCTACAATCACTTAATATTACATTACATGATACACAATGTTGCTCTGATACTCATGTTTGGTATTATACAGTGTAACACACATATATAATTTCTATAAATATTTGAAAGAATTTACAGAGAACCTGGCGAATGGTTAAATTAATCAAAACAAAAGACGCAGTAAAACAGAAATTTTACATTGTATGTGAGAGAAAACCACACATCCAAAAACACTGGGACAGCAAATGAAATGCAAATCAAAACAGAAAGTGATTTGTAAATCTGCAGTGCACAAAATCATCAAAAGATTCAGAGAATCTGTAAAGAAAAAGGCCAAAAACCACAACTGAATGCCTGCGACCTTCAATCCCCCAAACAGCACTGCATTAAAAACCAACATGCTTCTGTGATAGATATCAGCACATGGGCTCAGGAATACTGACAAACTATTATTAATAAACACTGTTTGTCGCTGCGACCACAAATGCAAGTTAAGACTGTACTGTGCTCAAGGGAAGTCACATGTCAACAATGCTGAGAAACACCGCTGACTTCTCTGGGCTGGAACCCGTTTGAAATGGGCTGATGTGCAGTGGAAATGTGTATTGTGGTCTGAGGACTCAACCTTAAAGATTGTTCATGGAAAATGATGTTGTGTTTGCAAGTAATTAATTACCTTTTTGAGTAACTACCCCAAAATTGGTCAAGATACATAAATAAGAACAATCAATTCAACTGACATAAGATGACCAAACTCCATTTCAGCTGAACGACTTGCATTCTACAGTCAGGGAGTCATTGTCTTGGGACCAAACCTGCAGTTCCCTTATTTTTTTTGATACTGGCGGAGATCATTGTAAATATCTGACTGCACCCCATACAGTTCCTGTTGTGACATAAACACACAAAGAATACAGTTATTGGTTAAAACAGCTACTCATAGACATTTTACAATATTTTCAGAAAAGAAGTTCACCAGTTCAAACAGTTAGTTGAGAAAGGGTAAAGGATCAGTATAAGACAGGGGTCGGGCAACTCGTGGCTCTGGAGCCACATGCGGCTCTTTTACTGTCCTTTTGCAGCTTCACAGCAGAAGATTTTTAGGTAAAAATAAAACATTCCTTTTTTGCAGTAAAATAAAAAGCTCTGCTGATCATTCAACACAATTTTAACACTAAATGGTCTTTACGCTGCTTTAACCCTGAAAGCACCCTTTAACCCTGAAGGTCGGTGCACTGACTGCTGGTCACTATAGCAACACAGACATAAGTCTCACCTAGCTAGTAGATAACGGAAAGGCAAAAAAAAAAAGATTTAAGACGAACAATGATAATTTGGAGACGAATGGACTTATTTGCGTTTATAATCACTCCAGCTGTCAGCTTCTCACTTATCATCTTCTTGTTAGAATTGTCCACCTTAAATGGTGCAGCAGTTACATTCTGGCGCCTCAGGGACCTTTTAAGGTGGAACGGGAAATTCGAAGAAGCTGGTGAACGAAAAGCTGACTTCAGCCGCGTAAAAAGTCAAACATTAAGAGATATTTTCAAGAAGCTATTCCACTTTTAGGTTTCCTGCTGGAGATGCGAAAAAAGCAGCTATAGCTGAGCTAAAGCTTAAAGCAGAGCAGAGTAAGTCTGCATTTTGGTTTATATTATATTTTTTAACCTATACTAGTACATTAGCACACACTGAGACATACTTACAGCCAAGATGGTAAAGTGGATATGAAATGTTGTGTCTCCCAAGGTGGTTTGATTTTTATCGAAAGGAAAAAAATGACTCTTCTTAACATTTGGGTAGCCGAGCTCTGGTGTAGGACCACTGCTAACTGAATAAATTGTTTACGCTTTGTGTACACACTATGGCCACTTTATTATACATCCAGCAGTGTCAACTATGGGTGGACACTGGGTCATTGGTCCTCCTAAAAAAAACAAAATGGGGGCGGGGCAGTGCCCTCTCAGTGCTAGCACAAGGCTGAAATGAAAGCTAGTAGTGCATCTGGATTGAGCAGTCTGAAAACAGCTGCTACAGTGAAACTGCATGTAACAGTTAGAAAACAGTAGGTATTTTAAGCACACAGGGTTGCTAGAAACCAGAATAACTGCGCTGTTGTCCACAGGCACCGGTTTGTGGCAGATTTGGGGATTTTTAGCCAAATTGGGCTAGTTTGAGTCATATGCATTTTTTGGGCTACTTCCTAATTGTACTGCAGTTGCCGAAAAAAGGTTTGTCACTTTGATTGCAGTAGAAAAGACCTAAGGACACACAGACACGTACAGTAAGAGAAGGGGCATTGCTGATGGCCAGCTTAAGGGCACTTCCTCACCATTCTAAACTTGAAGGAGGCCATTTGTGCAGTAACAGATCAGCCACCATCAGTAATTCTGATTCTGATTTTATGCCTAAAAAGTGCACCTATATGGTCGGTGTTTCTGATAAAATGGCCAGTGAGAGTAGATACAAGGTTGGTGTATCTAATTAACTAAAAACCTGCATGAAAATGATTATGCATAGTTCAGATTACCGACTGTCGTATCACTGTAATGTTACTTCAACACTTATTAGTTGATCTACTTTACTGAGCATTTACCTGATAAGGCGACTCTGTAATTTCAACCTCCTTTGGCCTGCTTGATGACTGGCGAAGTTTTGCTTTGCCTTAAGACATAAAAAATGTTAGTGATTTTGACTTTCAAGTTAATCCAAGTTTACTTCTTAAGTACTATTTGGACAGCATTAGTTTTCCATAGAGAGGTGGGGTAATGTCATTATTAGTGGTATGATTTTTTTATACGAGATTTTGTTCTGACAGCAATGATGTGTAAATAAATACATACCTGGCTCACAGGAGTTAGTACGTGTGTGTAATCTGCTCTTCCTCCTTTGCCGTGTCGCAAAACAGTAGACTGAGATAGCAATAAGAAGGGTGACAATCAGGTCGCATGTAATGATGCCAATAACGATCCCCATGTTGATCTGGTAGCATGAGCCACAGTCTGAAAGTGGGACATCACATGTTTGTAAGCATAAGATAATGTAGTTATTAGACATATATGCCATTACCCCAAAATGTAGTTAATAAGACAATTCATATTTGGTGCTTCTTTGATTTTGCACTAGAGATACAAGGCCAGTGTAGCTAATCTGTAATGAAAGTGTTCACTCTACCAATTACTATCAAGTAAACTCAATGCCTCATCACGCTTTTGCCCAAAACTGTGTCCACATGACCATTCATTTTTACATGACAATGTTGCATCCTGCCATATACCAATCAGGCTGTGCCTTCAAGACTGATATATGTAAATGACCTCTGTTTTGCATGGCTGCGCTGTATTGTACAAAATCCAAAGAAAGTGTACATCCCTCAGTCAATCAACAACCCAGTCAATTACTATACCAATGTTTTGACCACTATGGTCTTCATCAGGCAAAGCATTCATGTGAAATGAAAGGGCCAGGCAGTGGTATCACTACTGCATCTATATTATTTATTCAACAATTATTTAAAAGACATAATTCAAGAAATGATACAACTACAAAAGTATAATTACCTAGAGATGATAATAAATTCACAGCAATAAAGCTGGTTACCAAACTAAGCCATTTAAATACAAACTGAATTCCAAAAAAAGTTGGGGTAGTATGTCAAATGCTAATAATAACACAAGTAGTGATTAGTAAATTCCGTTTGAACTGTGTTAAAAATGGCACACACAAAATATTAGATTTTTTTATCCCATGAACTTCATTGTTTTTTGGTAAATTTATACTCATTCCAAAGGTGAAGCCTGAAACACATAAAAAAAGTTGAGACAGGAGCATGTTTACACTGTGTTACATCACTTTTCATTTTAACAACACTTAATAATCACTTGGGGACTGAAGATGCTAATTGAATCTGCTTTGAAAGCAGAATCTTTTTTGTCACAGGGGGCCTGTGGGGTGGGGTCATTATAATAATTTGAACTTCATTGCACTTCAAACAATGCAAGACAGGTCTGGAGGACAGATCTAGAAGGCAGCTCTCAGCAATAATGGTGCATCTTCAAAGATGTGCAAACTACTCATTAATACACCCCCTATACCATGACAGACCATGGCTTTTGAACTTTACATTGGTAACAGTGTAGATGGCACTTTACGTCTTTGGCCCAGAGAACACAATGTCCGTTTTTCCATAAACAATCTGAAAGATTCACTTGTCCACAATACATGCTTCCACTGTGCATCAGTTCATTTCAGATGAGCTCAAGCCCAGCGAAGTCGGCGGTGTTTCTGGACATTTGGCCTCATTCAGCAATACCTTTCTAAGTTTGCTCTTAAATGTGTTTCTGAGAAAAGTCCTAAGAAAAAGTTTACGTCAGATTCAGGACGTTTTCTTAAACCACAGAACTGTTCACAAGAACAAATCCCAAATAAGAAAACATTGGTGAATGTCAGAACCTTTGAGAAAACTGCATAAGTGGGTTTTAAGAATGAATTTTTTCATAAGAACAGTTGGTGAATGAGGCCCATTGTTAACATATGACTTGTGCTGGAGCATTTCATAACGTTCCTAGTCTTAAATTGCTTATGTCCCAACTTTTTCGGAATGTGTTGCAGGCAGCAATTTCAGAATGAGCATATATTAACATAATACAATGAAGGTGATCAGGTAAAACATTACATTATCTTGTCTTTGCAGCTTTTTGTTTAAATACAGGTCAAAGTGTCAAATCACTGGTTACTCGTTTTCTAGGCATTCAACACACTGTTACTGGGCTTGTTATTGGGACTATAACAAACTCTTTGATTCCTAAAATTCAGGTAAGTTTGGTGTTTCATGATGGGGCCATAATGTTATCTATTTGAGATTACTTAACAACAGGGCACAGTTTGAGGCAAATGTGTGATGATTCAGGCTTCCATTAGTTCTTAGCTACATTAGCCTCTTAGCACCAGTGGAAAAAGTAAAGAAGCAAACTTCAGACATCAAACATGGCTTGGCTTATTAACAACACACTGGGTAAGATATTGTATAAACTGGATTTTTTTGACAAATTATTCCTTTAAATTTCGCATTTTACAAATTTAGAAAACTACCTTGAGTCGCTGCAGCAGAACCTGATGAAATAAGAAAAGATTAGGAATGAGGATGTCATTAACATACACTCAGAGACCTTATTGACTAAATATGCTGTAAGTTTATATGCTAAAATTCAAGCCTTCAAGTGGCTTGTGCTACATTAAGGGAATGTCCCAAATTTTGTTAAAATGATGAGGACCTACTGCTAAAATGATGCAGTCAAGCTTGTCTGTTCAATAGAAAGTTCTCAAAACTACTTTGCTTAACCTCATAAGCTCCTTTGGATGTCTACATTCTAAGACATAACCTCATGGAAAACAATGCAAACAATAATAACTCAGTTTGAAGTTAACATACAAGCACATTAAAGCAAACTAGAAACATACTAAAGCAAAATAAGTGGTTAACACACAAGCACAATTTTAACCTGTCTAACCTTTTTACCTGTCACCCCACTGTTCACAGATATAAGTACAGTATTGACTTACATATGGATATGGCAACATATGGGCTTCACATATATGACATTTTATCCTATACACTGATCAGGCATAACATTTTGACCACCTCCTTGTTTCTACGCTCATTGTCCATTTTATCAGCTCCACTTACTATATAGGTGCACTTTATAGTTCTACAATTACAGACTGTAGTCCATCTGTTTCTCTGCATACTTTCTTAGCCCCCTTTTACCCTGTTCTTCAGTGGTCAGGACCCCCATGGACCCTCACAGAGCAGGTACTATTTGGGTGGTGGATCATTCTCAGCACTGCAGTAACACTGATGTGGTGGTGGTGTGTTAGTGTGTGTTGTGCTGGTATGAGTGGATCAGACACAGCAGTGTCACTGCTGGACTGAGAATAGGGCAGCATCCTGTGACCACTGATGAAGGTCTAGAGCATGACCAACACAAATTATGCTCACACACATGAGCTGCTGTCTCTGACTTTACATCTACAAGGTGGACCAACAAGGTAATAGAGTGGACAGTAAGGGGACACAGTGTTTAAAAACTCCAGCAGCACTGCTGTGTCTGATCCACTCATACCAACACACACACACACACAACACATTCATTAACAATAAACAATAACAATTTATTTAGAAATCTGTTAGTAACCAGTATATTTGCTATGCTGGTCAAATATTTTTGTGAAGGCCTTGATAGTTTTGTGAAAAGTTATTTGTGTACTTGCGGTGAGAGGTGGGTACGGAATCAGCTGGTTTCTTGCTGTGTTCTTTTTCCTGTGTCACTTCATTGCACATAATTTATAGATTGGAATGTTATGATTTGTTCAGTCATGTGGTTTTAATGTAAATCGCTGCATTGGAAATATATATATATATATATATATATATATATATATATATATATATATCGCTGTTGTCATAAGAAAACCTCATATCTCCATTTTTGATGTTTTTCAGGTTTTGACATAATTTGAAAATACCTGTTACCCTTTACATTGTGTATACATTCCATGATGAATGGACAAAAAAAATATCCTAAAACTCTGGTTCCATTGACTTACATTAAAAGTAAAGTACTTTGAAGTCTGTATTTCACACTTACCCAGTTAATACCTAGAACCTATTTGTTTCAGTATAATTTGGTTTGATTGTACTTTGTGCATCATGCTTACTTGGTTAATATATAGAGCATAAGGAATGCCAAAGCTTTTACTCTGAGTGTACATGACTTACAAACTCCTAACAGATTGAAAACAGAAAACAGACAGTACTTCACACTTAATGTCTTTCATAACAACTAAACCTACATAAATTAATAAAGGTGTATACCAATAAATGCAGCAGTTGTCATAAAGGCTGCTATTGTCACCTTCAGTGTCACTAAGTAGTTGTTAATGTGAGTGCAACAGACCTTAACAGTTAAAACTTAATTTTAACTTAAGTTAAAATATAGCTGCATTAGCTAACTATGTTACACTAGTTACCTTGGCTCAAATTTTCTTCCACATCAGCAAAGTGCTTCTGTAAAGCTGTAAATATGTTTCATAGTTTTGATCCTCATCTGCCTCTTTCAACAACAGCCTCTGTGGCACAATGAAAGCAGGAACCACGCCTGAGGCTAATGCGTCTGATGAGCTCACTTTCAAGTTCTACATCTTGGAGTATTTTTATTGCCCTCTAAAGCCAGACATACACTGTGTGATCTTAGAAGTTTCGTTCTTTGGTGACTCACACTGTAAGTTTGAATAGTGTACAGACGTGATTTCACTGGCAGGTATGTTCATTAGCGTGGCAGTGTACACTTGGCTTACATTACACTGAATGAGTTAAGTATATTGTATTTTTGTTGCCCCTAGGTAAATGGAGCAGTTTGTCGTTTTTTGCTGGAGGTTCTTGTACTCAAAGCGCTGTTTCATGAAGTCATTTCTTTCTTTACTCTCTTTCTCTCATTTTTCATCAAAAACTACCTCGATGGAGGAGTTTCAGCCCATTTTGTATCATCTTTAGATTAGAAATGGTCAGAATTAAAATGTCCAGCATAGTATTTTAGAATTGGGGTCACTATTACAACCAGGATAGAAACTCTGAAATGCTACTAATGCTACTAAAAAGCCAGCTGTCATAGCATGCTATGTCAGTTCACCCCAAAAAGTGTAATGACACAACCTAAAGTCAGCAAAAACCTGTCAATTTACATAGAAACAGCCTTTACGACAACTGCTGTTTATTGGAATAAGCCTTCATAATAAATGTTTCTATAGGTTTATGTCAGTTTCTTCATATCATACTTAAGCACAGTAAGGGGTTCACTCAAAATCATACTTATGCACACTATGGGGTTAACTCAAAAATCACACTAAAACACAAAGGAAACCATACTAAAGCACACTACACGGTTAACTCAAAATCATACTAAAATGCACTAAGAGGATAAAATCATACTTAAGCACACTATGGGGTTAAAATCATGTTAAAGCATGCTTAAGCACAATGTGGGGTTCATACTAAAACATACTCAAGCACCATACAGGGTTGACTCAAAATCATACTAAAACACAGAGGAGGTTAACTTCAAATCATACTTAAGCATAGTAAGGGGTTCACTCAAAAATCATACTTAAGCACACTTAAGCACAATACGAGGTTAACCAAAATCATACTGAAGCACACTTAAGCACAGTATAGGGTTAACCCAAAATCATTCTAAAACACACAGGAGGTTAACTTAACATCATACTTAAGTGCAGTAAGGGGTTCACTCGAAAGCATTCCAAGGCATAAAACTGAAAATCCAACCTATTAATCACAGATGCCAAACAGTTAGAGCAGAATAAATGAAGAGTCGAAGGCCGCTGTGACACTAACTTACCAAATAGACCAAGAGCCATCAAGCACAAAGTCCAGCTCATGGTGAGCGCAGGATGGCCGGGAAAGCAGAAGGTTCCCTACGACCGTGTGATTATTTTGTTTACACCTGGACTACGAGAGCAGATCACGTTTCAACCTAAAGACGGACAGTGTGATGAGCGATTGCATGCGCGTTGAGGATGTGAACATTGTCGTCTGCTGGTCAGTGGAGGAACTAGGAGGAGCTTTGAGCTTCTCTCCAGTCTGTGTGATGTGGTTGTGAATCTTTTTTTTTCACACATTCACAAAGACAAACTCACACTTCACAAATGGTCACACTTTGATATCCTGTTTCATATTTGAGTGCAGTGTTACAGTATGTTAAGTAAATAAACTTACAAAGTTGTTAGTTTGCATTAGGTCTGGCCATTGACAGTGAAAATTGGCCATTATGTCCATGCGGAGGTGTTGTTTATTGTACTTAGATGAGTAGATAAGGTGATTTCCATCGCAGGACCAAACCAGTCCAGACTGCGCTGCTATTGCTTTCAGCCTGTGGTTAGTCAGATGCAGCTATGTGGTTCTGCGCTTTATGTCCGGCAGATACAAGCAGTACGGTGTGGCTTTATCAGAAAAGGAAAGCATAGCCTAACTGAAACTGATCTTCAAATGAGTCACCATGACATATCAGATCAAGACATTTACAAATAACAATGCGATAAAGTTTTTCATTTTTCAGCGCCGGGAAAAAATACTTAACAGAAAATGACAGACTATCAATAACTACATATTGTGTCTACTGTTTTCCTTTATTACAGCTTCCATTCTTTTCAGAAGACTTGCTTTCAGTTTTTTGGAGAAATCCAAAATCTCTGAAGTTCAGTTTTAGAAGTTGGTTGCATTTTCTGCTTCACACAATCCAAGAAACCCCAAACGCATTCAGTGATGTTGAGGTCTCGGCTCTGTGATGGACTTTTTCCGTTCTTTTTTTTCTTTTTCCTGTAAATTAAATAAATTAATGGTGGTCTCTACTGTATATCTCCAAAACTGCACCTTGCTTCCATGCTCATGGAGTTATATTTATGACCTAGGTGGATGTAAAGTGTATAAAACTAACATAAATATTTCATGCTTCTTGCTATTTTCATCCAACCATCCATTTGTCACACTGTTTGCTCATCCCCCTCTCCACCTTTTGCCGAGATCAGGCAGGGAAAAGTGGGTTGCAAATAAATGTATGAAATTAATCTATTAGGATGCTACTTACTCCTCAACTTCTTAGATTTCAACTAATTAGTAAGCAAAAAGAAGAAATTTTCAAAATTCTAGAAATTTTAGCCCAGAATGATATACAGAGTCGGAGGTGATTCTTTAATTATACTGTAAAACATTGAGAACGTAGTTATAATAAAATTAAGATTCAGAATGCCTCATATTTGAAAAGAGGTGATCAAATCTCAGGCAGATACCTGGTCAAGAAATAAATAAAAAATGATTATGGTATTTTATTTATTACTTAATAACTTCTCTGTGATTCCAAAAAAGAATTAATATTAAATAAAACATCTTGAAATACCTCCTGTTGTCAATCCTATAGTATTTCAGTCTACATCTACTTAACCTATCAAATAATATAACAAAACTGGTATATTTTATGTATATCACTGCTGTTTTTGTTGTTTTTTTTAGTTGGTTGTTTAATTAATACACAAACCCAGTTCCAAATAGTTGCGACTATAAAAACAGCCTGCAATGATTTGCAAGTTCTTTTTGGCCTGGATTTAACTGAAAACAGTACAAAGACAAGATTCTTAATGTTTCAACTAATTGACTTTATTGTTTTTTATATTCTTATACTCACTCTAAATTTGATGCATCTAACATGTTCCAAAAAAGTAGTTACAGGACATGTTTACCACTGTGTTACATTACTTTTCCTTGTAACAATGTTCAGTAATTGTTTGGGAACTGTAGACATCAATTGTTCTAAAAGTTGTTTTCTCCATTCTTGCGTGACATAAAACGTAAGCTGCTCAACAGGTCAGGGTCTCTGTTGGTGTACATTTTATAACATGCCACAGGCCAGTCTAGCACCTGCACTCTGTTACTATGAATAGCCATGCTATTGTAACACATGCAGAATGTGCCTGGGCATTGTCTTGCTGAAACAAGCAGGTACGCTCTTTAAGATGTCGTCTAGATGGCTGCACATATATCGCTCCAAAATGTGTTTTTACCCCTCAGCGTTAATTGTGCTTTCAAAGATGTGCAAGTTACCCACTAACACACCCACATGCTGTGACAGATACTGGCTTCTGAAATTTGCATGGGTAACAGTTGGGGTGGTCCTTTTCCTTCTTGACCCTGAGAGCGTGACCTCTATTATTTCCAAAAACAGTTTGAAAGGTGGACTCATCAGACCACAAAACTTTTTCACTTTGTGACAGTCCATCTCAGACGAGCTTTTAGCCCAGAGAAGTTGGTAGCGTTTCTGGATGTTATTGATATATGGCTTCTCAACTTGCATAAGAGAGTCTTAACTTGCATTTGTAGATGCAGCAATGAACTTTGCTTACTGACAAGGGTTTTCCGAAGCATTCCTATGTGCTTATATTCATTACAGAAGCATGTTCAAAGTTCACTGGCATTCATTATGGATTTTTGGCCATTTTTGAGTTCTCCAGATTCTTGAAATCTTTTAATAATGGTATTGGCTGTGAGGTGAAATCTCAAAATTCTTCGCAATTGTGCACTGAGAAAGTTGGGAAAGGGTACAGTTTGTTATTCATACTGTTGTTCATTACTCTTGCAGCGGCGAACCTCTCTCAAGGTGGCGAACCTCACCTATCCTTGCTCATAAACAACTGAGCCTTTTTTACCCAATCACGATAGTATAATTCCGATAGCAGATATAATCTGTTACCTATTCATATATTTACCTGTGGAAAGTTCCAAAACAGGAGTTTTTAATCATTCCACAAATTTCCCAGTCTTAAGTATGTCCCAATTCAGGGGCTGCATCCTTTGAAGGCTGCGTAGACCTGCGAAGGCTGAACCGAAATGAAATGGTCTGCTCTACGGCGGATTGCCTGCTAGCATCATAGCACCGCTGTTCCTGCCCTTACGTTTGCATCACGAAACGACACTCTTGTCAAGTTCAAGTTCTTTAAAGATGGAGCCAGAAACTTTCATTTTAGTTTTTTTTTTTTGTTAGTCGACTCAGTTTAAACCCAATACTTACATTTAAAGTGTCTTGTCAGCTGCTGTTCACTCCTCTGCTGACGCCACCATGTTCTCGAATCATCGCATGGCACACAATGAACCTCGGGATTCTTCACTGTTGGATCCTTCGTTGCCATGGAAAAGAAGGATACATTTCTCACATTTCCTAGCCGCACCTCTGTGACACAGTCGGCCTTCAAATGCAGCCTCCGAAGGATGCAGCCCCTAAAATGGGACACAGCTTTACAGCGCTCCTGTTCTAACATTTTTGGAAGGTGTTGCATCACATTTGGAAATAGCGTATATTTACAAAAAAAAATCTATAAAGTTGATAAGATAAAATATTAAAAAAAAAATTTGTACTATTTTCTATTAAACGTGTAAAAGACAAAGAGTTTACAAATCACTGCTTTCTTTTCTGATTTTTATTTTACTTACTGTCCCAACTTTTCTGGTCTTGGGTTTGTAATTTGAAAACACCAGCTACCATTTACATTGTGTGAACATTTTAAAATGAATGGACCAAAAGAAGTGGTTGAAAATTGGAAAAGCAACAAAATCCTGCAATATATAACACCTGCAGCCATGCTGTATGATGTGTGTTATTGAAGAAAGCTTAGCAGCAGTTTCTTGTTTGTGGAAAAGGGAACAATGGCCATTTTAGCAATGAAACGTGAAATAAAACACTCCTCTGTGAAAGGAGAACTTACCTAAGTCAGAAAAGACAGATAAGCCTGCCCTGAGCAGGCCTGATTGTTTTCATATAAATAGCAGTACAGAAGAGAGCAAAGAGATATTAGTGAAAAGTATCTGTCGTGCACATTCTTGGCAGATTCCGGAATCCCACACACTCATAAACGACCAGAATGCAACAGTGGTTGCTTGTGCTCGAAGTACAGCTGCATTAAATCAAAACCATAGGATATGCATGAGCCAATATTCGATTATAAGGCACGCTAAGACACTGAACACATACAGTATTGTTATCGTGGACACTTTAAAATACCGTCACTGCATTCTGTTCTTTCCCTCAGCTTCCTCTCAATCTGAGGTGAGTATCCTCGAGCTAGCTTCCCCTTACTGAACCATTCCCCTACCTCTTATAGGCTTAGCCCCGCCCCTGCATCACCTGAGCTGAACCATTCTATCTGCAGGGGTGTTGCTGTCCTATAAGGGTGGATTAAAACAAGGGTGAATAAAATCATAATTCCATATCACAAAGCCTTAATATCTCTCATTACCGGTAGAGGTGTTTAATTACAGTGTGCACATTTGTTAACCTGTCTCACTCTTTTCTGTGACCTAGGTTAGGTTGTCAGTAATCTGATCAACACGTTTACATGCACTTGAGTAATCAGATAATTGGGAAACTTCAGGTTTACATGAGTCAGGCAGTAATCGGATTTCAGTAATATCAGGCAGTAATCGGATTTCAGTAATATCAGGCAGTAATCGGATTTCAGTAATATCAGGCAGTAATCAGATAATCCAAAACTCTAACTTCATACCACAGCTTTTTTTTTAAACATCGTGCCACTTTACCTAAAATTATATGAACTTCATCATTTAGATGAAGAATATTTAAATCCTTTATTTCGCGTTTGGTTTCAGCGCCGCTCCAACAGCGTTTTGCTGCCATCTCGCGACATCCACCGTCTGATCTCACGCATGCGCAGACTGAGAAATCCGATAGAAATCGGAGTACAAGTACACATGCACTGAGAAATCTGATTACTGAGCTAAAATCCAGCTCTCTTTATCGGATTTCTAGATCAGAGTATGGTGTTTACGTGACCATTTGAATAATCAGATAACTGCAGAAGTCCGATTATGATCAGATTATTGAGTGCATGTATACGCACTCATTGTGAGTCCATGCTTTATATGATGTTGGTACAACTGTCTTAGTCTGTTTTTGGAGCACCTTCACATCTTATGGTAACAGTGCTATCCAGTCAGCCCAAAA